GAACGATTTTGTCGATAGTGTGTGCCACAATGAGCTGACTGCGGACCCATTCATTGTCGAAATTGAGTACCCGGAGAACAGTGTCAAAGGCTGCGTCCGGCTCCCTGAGTTTGGTGTTGAGTCGCAGCCGTTTGCTGATGATGATTGGGGGAAAGCGCTGCAAGTTGACTTGTTGCATGAGTTTTGTCAGTCGTTGTTGGTCAGACTTGTTGGATACAAGGAAGCCATCCAGCGTTGCGCCAAAGACCGTCTCCAAAATTGGGGACCACTCAGGTTGAGTGAGCTGAACATGGGCTCCAATGGGCCCAACGGGCTTTTCGTGGAACCCGTTTTCTCGCTCGATCGCTTGAAGAAGGAGAGGTATCTTCTTATCATAAGCAGCCCAAACAGAGCCTCTGTTCTGCTCCAGGCTGCGCAAACGTCCCTCGGCTGAGGTAATTTCCGCCCTCTTCCTATCGACATCGGCCTTGCCCCCTTGTAAGGCGCTCTGGGCATGATTGAGCTCTGCCCTGAGTTGCGGCACTGTGTCATTCTCGTCGGCGATTTGTTGTTTAATTGTAGACTCTTCTGTTCTTGCTTCATTCAGAAGACTCTCTTGTTCCTGGCGGGCGCTCCCAGCTCCAGCGCCCAGTCGCTGCTCCTCGGCTTCAATCTTGGTCTCAAACTCAGCCACCCCTTGTCCGGCGCTTTTGAGCCGTTGTTGAACATCTCTGAGTTGATGGTGTATGTCGGTGACTGATTGCTTGGCCTCTTGGTACGCTTCGTCGGCGAGGGCGATACTTTCCTGAATAGTACCGGCTTCCTGTGATTCCGTCTCGACTGCACCTTGAGCACGCTCAAGGTGCTCATCGCGCTGACTTAAAGCCTGTGTTGTGCGCTCAATGAGCACAGTAGCGCGTTGAATTTCCCCGTCCAGAGCAGCGACCTCATCGTTGTACTTGACGAGCACATCTTCTTGCTCAGCTACCTGTGACCAGTAAAGCTGGTTACGGAGACGGCGATATGTCTTTCTCATTTCTTCGTTCTTCTGAGCAATGTCCTTGAGCTTCTGCGCCTCCGAATGCTCTCTCTTCGCACGACGGACATGTTCCTCTAGGCTCGGTAGCTTTGCTTCGTGACTCTCGAGAATTTCCGTTAGGAGTTTGTAGTCGTTGTCAAGCTGTTCGAGCTGGACACCTCGAACAAAAAACTTGTACTTCATAGAGGGTGACGAAGAATTCAGAAATTGTCGGGCATTGTCCTGCGATAGAACGTTGAGTGGATTGTCGACCTGCAAAGCCCAATACTCGGAGATCTCATCAACGTCGGCCTTCTTTGTAGAAATTGTTTTCCCAGTCACGCTCTTCAGCTTGAAGCCACTGGCGCCAGCCCTGGAGAAATGGCGTTCGACTCTGATGGTTTCGCCGTACAGATCGGGCTGGTAGGCGTCAATGCCCTGGTTCTTGATCCTCACAATGATGACAGAATTGTTTCTCCCTTCCTTGATGAAGCTCTTGAGACTTCCGCCTCTGTTGGTGGAGCTAGCCTTGCCACCAAGACACAAGGTTAGGGCTGTGAGGACTGCACTCTTGCCACTTCCATTCTCGCCGACGATGAAATTGATCAGGGGACCGAGCTCGACAAAGAGGCGCTCGTGGCACATGAAGTTGATGCACTCGACACTCTCAATAATGCCGTTCTCGGCAGCATGGTTGTCGCCGATGCGCTGCGGCCGGCTTTTGATTTTCTGCGTAGCACGTTGATCGTCTTGATCCTCGTACTGCAAGTGCCTGAAACCATCGTCCCGGGCGATTTCGTATTGGGTTCGGGGAGGCGATTCACGGCCGGCTCGTCCGTCTTCCTCTTCTTCGTCCGCACCGTCTTCGCTTCCGGAGCTTGGGGATTCATCCCTTGGGGGTACCGACTTGGTCGGCTGAGCAGTGTTTGATAGTCGAACCCGCTTTGACTGCAGAATTCCAGAAGTGTCAGTTGATCTCATAGGTAATATTCTGAACTCACATTCTTGGAGAAACCTACGGGTGCGTCCTGAGCGAGGTTGGACCTTTTTTGCCGCACCTCAACCAGCTCCTCCTCCTCGTCTCCGCTGCCTGCTTCCGCGACGGCGTGGGATCTCTTAGCGGGGGCCATGACGAGTAGCCCAGAAGATGCGCCTGCGTTGAGATTTTGCGACGTCGGGCAGTAGAAATTCAGTGCGCCTATCGCACTTGGTGTTAACAAAGGTGGACGCAGATTTTGGGGACCTGTCGTTGGATAACTTGGGCTGTGGCCTTCCAGATTGAATGACCACGAAAGCTTCGTGCGACGCGTCGGATGACGGAACGCGACTGTGTGGTTATCCGCGGTGGGGGCTGAGGTAAGGTAAGGTAAGTTAACCTGGAAGGTATGTCTGCCTGCACCTTCCATTAATCGAGCACTTAACGCGTACAGTGCTCCGGGCAGACATTTATCAAAGTCACTGTGCTGAGGCACCTGAAGGTAAGGTAGGTGACCGGGGCTTTGGTGGGGCGCTCTTCTGAGCGACTACGACTCTCTTTGCCGTAGGCAGGTGTTCCAGCACCAATAGTCTTGAAGGTCTGGGATGCAGTTACCATCGAAAGAGCTCTATCAGATAGAGATCGAGGTGAACAATACAGGCAAGGCAAGCCTGCACACTCCAGACTAAGGGCCTACTTGTGTGCAATTACGAATTTAATGCGAAGGTCCTCAAGAATTCTCGAGCATTTTTCGAAATCGCTTGGCTTCCATTGAAAGAAGTCATCCAACCTCCACTCAAAATACCAGCCCTGCCTGCGACTGAGTAAATCACGAGCTAAAACCCACGGCTCTGCCACAACAGAACAACAGTAACAACAATTTTGTCCGCTCTCTGCGCGTTTACAACTTCATCTGGCCAGCCAGGGTATCTCGAAGCTATTTGTCATGGCTGATCCACAACGAGGAGCTGGAGAAGCAGGGGGCCGCCACGAACAGAATGCTCCCGACCTGCGAGAAAATTGCGTCGAGTATAGCATTTTTCTTGTTGACGCCAACGCCTCAAATGATCCCCTGAAGCAACTTTCCAGACTCGACGATCTACGAAAAACTGCTCTGCAACTTGCAAACTCCCTGACCGCAGACTATATTTGGCAAAAGGGCCTCTTCACTCTCGATGTGGTTACAGAGCAAGGTTCGTCCCCCCCCCCCCCCCAGAATGATTCAATCTTTTGATTTGAGTGCTAAGACTCCGACAGGCAACTCGTTTCTCCGAGGAATCACTGACTACGGAGATTCGATCGAGGACGAATGGCTGATTGTCTATATCCTCAGAGAGTTTTCCAAAGTTCAACCCACTGCATGGATCCGTGTCTATGACGCTGATGGGGAGTTTCTCCTCATAGAGGCAGCCAACGTTCTTCCCAAATGGTTGAGTCCTGAGACAGACCAGAACCGTGTTTGGATTAACAATGGCCGTCTACGAATCATCCCTCACACAACCGAAGACGGCACTAAAACCCGGCTGTTGGCATTATCGGACGCTTTGCGCGTTATAAAATCCACCTCCGACTCTCTCTTGCACTCAGAGTTCATAGAGGCTGAGGCTTTCTATCGCCTTGAAAAGTACCCTGGCCATATTCACAAGTCCATACACCACTCGCTCGTGACAATTCCTCGAAGACTTGTCCATGTCCTACGCCAAACTCCCAAGGCTGTTGCACCAGCTGTGGAGTCCTTCTACCTCCGCGATGCGCTAGATCTGAACACTCTTCTGTCCAGCAAGAAAAGTCATACTTTTCCCCCGGTCGATCTTGTCACGGTGAGCGTCAAATTCACCAGGGTGTTGTTCGCCCAACTCAGATCGCAAAGGTTCGAGCCGCCTGCCCCTTGGGCTGGTATTATTCAACGAGTCAAGGGGGTCGAGCACACACATTTGGAGATGGGCATGAAACTCACATGTGGATTCGAAATAATGCTCAACAATGTTGACAAGGCCGATAGTCGTGAAGCCAGGGCGGCTAGCATTATTGTACAGGACCTTGAGGAGGATGGAGATTCAGTGCTCCCTACAGACGAACAAATCCGCAGCTGGAGGGACGCCGGTCGCGATGATGACGAGTCCTGGATGGACATCAACTACGAAGACTTTGAAAGAGAGCTTTCAGGACGCCAAGGCGGGACCGAATCTCAACCGAACCCGAGCTTTGGAGATGCCACAACACAAGCAGACCTGCGCAAAATCGTCTCCCGGTTCGAGGCCTTTCTCAACGATGAGAATGCAGGACTAGACGGTGCCGAGATCGATGAAATGGACATTGATGACGACGACGACGACGGATCCGAGGGCATGGAGACAGACGAAGATGACGAAGACGAAGACAAGGCGGTCAGCTTTGACGAAGCGGAATTTTCTCGCATGATGAGAGAAATGATGGGACTAGCACCCATAGAGCTCGACGTTCATGATGTTCCAAGCAAATCGCCTGCGGCAAGAGAGAATACTAAAGCTATTGGGCGAGACGAGGAACCTGACGGCGATGACCTTCGGAAGCTTACCGCTGAGTTGGAAGCTGAGCTCAATGAACACGGTGCTCTAAAGTTGGACCAACCTCGAGACAGAGCCCTAACCCAGAAAGGGAAGGGGAAAGGCAGTGGGCCTGAATCAAGCAATGATGATGAAGAGGCAGACGACGAAGTTGACATTGACTACAATCTAGCCAAGAACCTCCTCGAAAGCTTCAAGGGTCAGGGTGGTATGCCGGGTCCGGCTGGAAACATTCTAGGCATGATGGGACTTCAGCTTCCGCGAGACGAGGACGACGATGCCGGGGAAGGCAAGAAGAAGCGATGAAGAAGACAAACGTCCAAGATCTTGTAGGTCATTAATCAGTCTTTATTGAAACGACGAGTGCATCTTCCTCCAGGAAGCAACCGTACGCCAGGCTCTAGACGTGTCTTTCCCGAAGTATGTTCTAAGAATGTTCGTTCATCATAAGCATCACCTTTCGATACACGACCATCTTCTACTAGTCGGACGATTCCCCGCTCTTCGACCGTTTCTTGGCCGGGCTTGATTCGCCACTTGGTCTTCTTCCCCTCCGTGTGCCGGCGTCATCAAGAGCATCAAGCTGCGACAGGATAGTGTTCAACCTCTTTCGTGCCTCCAGCTCGCGTCCGCTGATGTCCTTTTGCGGGCGGAAGTATGTTCTCGCAATGTGCGTGATTGTATGGTAGCAGTCGTACAGCAGCAGGCGGACGTGAGCTCTCTCCTTGTCCTCAATCAGATCCGAGGAAAACATTGAGATGATGGTGTGTCGAGTGTTTGAGGACCAGTTGAATCCCGCAAGAAAATCACCACTAGGCTCACGACCGATATTGAGAGCAAAAAGTGGATCTCCAAAGACGAAGTTGCTCCAATCCTTCATGCCAGCCATGACGATGCCATCGTCGTGTTGGAGAGTCAGTGACGCGTTGTCGTCTCCGGAATCCGAGCCGTTATCATACTCATCGCCAACCTCACTACTTGCGTCACTACCGCGGCGGTCTGTGTGTTGAAATCTTCCCTGCGGTCTGCACTCGACCAGAGATGCGTCGTCTCCGGAGCCTCGTTTTCTGAACACAAGGGTGTTGACATCTTTGCCGACGTCAACAGCCACCAGCCGGGGTGTTTTGATTCCATCCAGCACATGCTCGAAACGCTTGAACTGCCGTCGAATGGCACTGTAACCCAACATTACTTGCATATCCTCCCCGTCACGAAGCACTGCCTCTAACATTGAGTGGAAGGCCACAGTCCAGGAATGGACGCCTTTTGATTCCATCAATCTCGCGGCTACATCTCGCCTCGTAGACTTCGTGGAGTCTGTAGCTGGTGATGGCGCACATGGAGGTAGAACAGCAAATGCAGGTCCGAATCGTCCAGTGGGTGACACTTGCTCACAAAGCTGCCGATATAACTGACCAGTTTGAAAATCAACTGTTCTCCGTTCGGCCGATGAGAGTGGTGGACTGAGTTCGGAGATGGGGGTGCCTAGTGTTGGCTTGACGAGATTGTATTCGAGGCCCAGCTCGTTCGTGGCGGCCGTATGTGATATGAGGGTTGGAACTAAAGCCCGCAGTTCTTGTACCGCGACATCAGAACAATTCGTGGTCCCACTCTCGTAAGTGGCAATGGGAGAGGTTGACCAAGGCGAGCCTTCTGTTTCCGTAACTTTCTCATGGAGAAGAGGCGTCTCGACAGTTTTGCCAGCAAGCCATCTTAATACGGCAGCCTCCGAGACGACGGAGGCTCGTTCGGATCGCAGCAGCTTTACCATAGGCGGCGGGGGAACGACGAGAACCAAGCTCGCTCCGGTGGAGACTTTGACTCCATAGACGCGTTGACAATGGACCGATGGCATCACCTGAACTTGTTGGACGGTGGCCTGGGGTACCAAACGGCTTATAACGGTCTGTATGGGCTTTGCCGGAGGAGGCGGCGCACACATGGACGTCGTTGACACTGTATTGTGATACAGGTTCTGCCCTATGGAAGGTCGATGCGTGACGGGCGGGATGCTGCAGGTTTGCGAAACGCTCTGGCAGGCGAATGGTATGCAAGGTGAAGTCGAGGTGTGAGTGCGGTGACACCGACCAGGAGCCATGTGGTAGGGGTTGGGCGAAGGAGCTAGATATAGCGAGTGCTCTACGGCTTCCCAGACGAAGGTGTGGGGGTTTGCAAGGTCGTGTTGCGGCGTAATCTGGACACACGGAGTGGTCCGGCCGGGGACTTTGGACGTTTTCATGCCAACAAGGGCAACACCAAGAGATCACTCCAATAGAAACGGGGTGTCTAGCGAGGCGGATTCGAAAGGTGAGCCGGCAAGTGAGGTTTACGGGGACTATTCGCTCATGTCATCCGGGCCGGATGGTGAGGAGGAGGAGGATGATGCTGATGACGGTAGGGCACTAGGTATGCGCATGAAATCACGGAAAGATGAGTCGACCATAAGCGAAAGGAAGTTCGGCGATGAGCAGGGCAGAGGTTGAGGGTGTTTGAGAGCCCAGGGGTGTGAAGGTCTGAGTGGAAAGGCCAAAGCCAACGATGGAGTGAGTGAAGCTGGTCCACACACAAATCCTTGTTTCGCAAGAAAAGACGGCAACCGTCCGAACACAGGTCGGGGCAGCACCTGTTTGAGCCAGCATAAGTTTCTTCGTACGCCTCAAAGGTGAAGATAAGACAGGTGAGAGAAACAGGGTAAGCTAAGCTATGCAGTTGCATTGCAGCGGTCGAGGCGAGAAGCGAGACATGATGGGCGGGCGGCGCAAAAACCAGGCTCAAGGACATGAGCTTGATGAGGTAGCCAAGCAATGAGGATGACCTTGAGCTGTTCCAGGACAAGCGAGATCGGTCGAGAACAAGCCAACACACGAGACGAACTAATGAGAAGGCGCAACAGGCGAGAGAGCAAGAGGTTGACAGACTAAGGCGCGATGGCTCGGTGGTGACGGGCGAGGCGTCGTACAAGGAGCAACACTGGCTGAGTGGGTGGGAAGGGGGAAATGCGCTCAATGGGCGTGTGAGAAATAAGCGAGAGAGACAACACTAAACAGCGACAACGTATAAGCAACGTATAAGCCGTCTGCTAACAACCTACCTTTCGCTTATAAGTTACGTTGGCCATGAGGTGCGCAGGGAGGGAACAAGCGCGCAAGACCCATGGACCTCCATGAGCGTTTGTAGGTGTGGGTGTGAGAGACTGACACGCAAGTGTGCACATACACATACAGCAGACAGACGGAAAGAAAGAGGGAGGGGGGGAACCAAAAAAAGCGACTGAAGAATTGTGAATGGATCTTACGGACATAGGCCGAGAAGAGAGATGAGGTACCGGAGTGCAGATGAAAAATATGTCGGTAAAGGAGAAGACAGGCAGGGGCCAGAGAGGGGCTCTGCAACGCAGGATGCCAACAACATACGAAGGAATGTGCCACTTGGGGTCAAGTCAAGCGAGGTTGCAGATGAACGTCTTTTACTTCCCATAAGAGAAAGAGGATAAGTGTCGAGTCTGGACTGATCGTGCGGTTGACGATCTCCACAAGCGCATAGCTTACCTACAGGCTACCTGACCTCACCTCATGCAGGCACTGGCAAGTAAGGTAGATATTCCTGCAATAAGTTCAAGGGGGAGCAGAGTGTGCGAGCCAGGAGCATAGGTACAAGCTTATCATTTTTTCGCGGTGTGGGAAGAAAGAAGGGATTAAGATATAGGTAGTCTGCGATCTGGCGAGGTGAGGTTGGTGAAGAAGTGGAATGAATGGAGGAAATCTATTCGCAGGGTTCTCATGATGGGAGGGGGGCTACGAGGTTGACAGGGAGCCCCCAGCGAGACTCTGCATCGTCAAGCGAGCCGGGAATTTGTTGATTGGATGCGATTAAGCGAAACTGGTGGGTCTCGGATCCCCGCCCGCAGCGTCGGGGCGGCCACCACCCACTCTCCCACTCTTTTCTCATCTCATCTCACTGTTCCATTCTCACAGCAAGGTGCCTTAGCTCGACAACAGTGGACGGATACAGATCCATGCCAACGGATAAACAAACACCTCAAGATCCAAGGGCAGGCAAAGTATTTTAAGATGAGATGGGAGCTTTGATACCCCGGATTGTCGTCAAATGCCAAGTCGCTTCGCAGTGTACGGATTCGGTAGCTATGTTCAAGTTGGGGATCTTCAGTTGGCCGTCGCCTTTTCCCGCGATGAGGTATGTCGAATGCACGCCACGAGCCATTGAAACATCTGCCATGTTGACTTTCTCGCACAAACGCCGCGCACGTTGAACTGTAAAGTTCTCCAGATACAATGCCTGCCTCGACGCTCACGCAAGTTGTCGGAAATGCAAGCCCAAGATCCAGCCCACCAGCGCAGGAACTTTTGCTAGCGTCAAGCCGACTTGGTGAAGCATGCTGCTGCAAGTCATACTTGAACTACTGTCTTCTTACTCTCTGGTTTCTGTCGCCATTACATCTCACACCTCAATGCCAAGGTAGAATGTTCTAACGGGACCACCGAATCACATACCTCCTGGCCGGTCAGGTAGTCGCATTGTGCGGATGGCATACACCTCGCAGAAAGGGAAGTATTGAAGGTACTTAGTAAGCCAAGGTAATCTAGGAACCCAAAGCTCTGTAGGTACCTTTCCGGTAAGGAAGTTACCGGCTGAGGTACGCATCCCATCTAGCAGTAGGTAAGGTAAAAGATGGGCGATCTAGAAGTTCTGCATCAACCATTTCAAATCCCCCCTCATCCAGCCAGACGGAGTCCACTTGCAAAAGGACTACGCTGCAGAGGCCTGATATTTGCATGCACCGGGTCTGCAATGATGGCCAATGTTGAGTTTCCGGATCGACCGCCGACCCCAAGCTCCAACATACTAGCCCCCCCTGCCAGCTGATATAATGTGGTGGAAGCGGCCAAGGGACGGATCTGGGTCCCAAATAGAAGTTTGGAACGTTCCATATGCTGGAGACTCGTCAAATTTATACAGATAAGGCTTAGCGCCGTCATGCTTGCAGATGCGCACTCTCCACACGGCTTACACCTCGCTCCACCCTGAGCGGTCGGCTTTCAGCTGCTACTTTTCCACCAACACAACACCTACGTGACCGCATTTGCCCCCATGTTTGCATGGATTTCCCCATATCCCATATCACGTTGCAGAGATATCTGGCCATCATGGTACTTGGTAGAGCCCGGGTCGTTCATTGCTGCTCCTCCTCCCACGATTAACTTCCCACAAGAAACAGCGTCGGGTTCCCATCAAATTGCCGTTATGAAGCCCTGAGATGACGAACACTCATAGCAGCTCAGTCCGCATAAAATCTGTGCTAGAAAACACTCCAGTGTGTATGGTAAAATCCGGGCTCGACCATTGTCGCAGGCTATTTGGGGTTTGCGCGTCACGTACGTAAGGCCAGCAGCTTTCACCAAGGCTACCCAACCAACACTAATCGAAACGCCAGACCTCGGGCTGCCGGCTCTGAACATCTTCGAGGGACGAGTGGCCATACTGAAGGAGAATACACAAGTCGCACAGTATAACGTTGGGTCTCTATGAAATAACCCTCTCAATGTATTGAAGGGGGCGTATCGGCTTCTTTGCTACGCAATGTCGTCAGAAGGAGCCAAAAGTGCGCCAAAAGCCCACCAATGTCGAATGATATTGTCATGCAGTGGGGACGGTGCTTGTCAAGGTGCAAGTGAGTGAATCATGCCTTTTATCAACTCTCATCATCTGGTATTCGCAAGACCAATTGGCTATTTCGCTTGGGGTTTCACGAATGCTATACGGTAAGTGCTCCCGTCGCTTAGACGATGGGTGATCCCAAGTGTATCCTTGACGACCTCATGCACTACTCATGCTGCCTTATTTTCACCTTCCTTTGGTGCCGGGCGATTTGCCTGTGCTCCAGGAGACGCCTTGTACAGTTCGTTGACGTTGAGCTTCTTTAAATCCTCCCAGTCACTGCGCTCAATAACACTCATACCGCAGAAACTCTACGGACCAGTCAGTTTGATGCTCGCTAGCTCTATCCTACTAGTCATCCCTTACCTGGAAAACATCGACAAGTATGACTTTGTCGGCATTAGTGAGATCGACTTTGTGCCGCGGGCTGACGACGCTGGCGATTTGCTTAATGAGCGTGTCGCGATCAAGTGAGTTGTTGCTGCGTATGGAAGGTCTGATGGCATACTGCCAAATATGTCAGCCTGAATCACCCAGTCAAAATTTGCCATGAGTGAACGTACTGTGCAGGCCGGCTTCTCAGTCCGAGCATCACTCTCTCCTTCAACCTTCTCTGCGTCGCCTTCTGCAGCCTGAGCTGTCTCATCTACGAGATCGAAATGCGCGGCCAGGGCCTTTCTAGCGACTCGCACCACGCCGTTCTCAGATGCCTTATCCATAGAGGTGACCGGCGTCAGCCGGTTGATATACTTTGTCTTCCTCTCCTTGAGATCAGTGCAGACGCTGGCGTCTATGCACATCTTACGGCAGAGCTCCACGGGGTCGATGGGATCCCTTGTCTTCATGAAGAAGACACACTCGATCCCAGCCTTGATGGCCTTGAACGTACGCTTGGTCTTGCCCTTGTTGACTTCGCTGATACCATCGAGCTCCTTCTTTATGGACGCTTCAATGTCCTCGTCCTCCTCGTCTGATTCAACTTCTTCCCCGGGGGGAACGATGCCGTAGAGTATCTTTGCGTACTGAGGCGTAGTCGTATGAGTGAGCGTAAATGCGAAATGATGGCAGAATCAACAAACCTCGTCACATAGTATGCTGAATTCGCTAATGGACTTTCCGTCCATGCCTCTGGCAAATGTGACCCAGATACCCTTGTCGCCAACCCCGAGGGCGACGCCCTTGTCCTGAAGACTGGCGACCTTCGCCTTGTGTTGCGGCGTCTGCCATTTGCCGGAGCCTTGCCCACCCTACTTTCTCATCAGCCATGAACTTATACTGAAGAATAGTATGTCTTCTCATAAGATTGTTCAGGCAGGGTCGGGAGGAATTAACTGCGTAGTGCAATGTACAGAAATCAGATGAAAACCTACCTTGCTTCTCTTAGCGGGATGGCCACCACCGCCACCCGACTGTTTCCTCTTCCCATCTGTCATTTTGTAGGAGCTTCGCGAGCTGCAGCTCTGAAATCTTCTGGGATGCTGCGCCGAAGCCCTTGTGGGCTGTGAGTATGGAAATTGTGCCTTGTGGGATTGCTGAGAGAGAATGGAAGCTTGGTGTGCTGCACTGAAGATAGCTAGAAGAGGTAAAAAGTCCACACCGCCCAAAGGCAAGAAATCAGACGAGCTGGACCCGCTATACTTTCTGCGTCTTATTGCAGCCTGAGGGTCACTTCCCAACAACCAGCCATCGTCAACAGCCATCAGTTCGATGGTGCTTAATCGAAGCTTCTCAATTGACATCGTAGGGCTTGTTTTTAAACGGGTCGAATATGAAAGCTCTATCGTTGAAGCGATTGGCCTTCAACGATGCCAATTTGCGTTCTGAGAATTAAAACCTGACAAACAAAACACGATTCGGTTACGATTTCTAGACCTTGATCCCACGATTCTTTAAGTCAAGTCTTATGCAAGGGAACGTCAGCTGATGTTATCAATTGCATGAATTGAATGTGCCGGATCTCATGCTGGACGACTTGCCGGGAAGTTAAAGTCCAGCTGCGTGGAACTATGGCAATTGAATATTTATCTAGTTGCTTAAACTTCAGCTTGCCTCCTTGTGAGTACTAGAGACACAGCGGAGGGAGAAAGACGATGCGCCTGTCATTTAGTTGCTAGGTACAGCTCAATTCCACTTGACGAGACAGGTCAAAATATCAATGAAGACACAGAACTGCCATAATTCTGCGCAACCTTGGAGCGCTGACTGAAAACGCACTTATGCCAAGGTATTCCTCTCATGTAATTTACGCCGCGGTCGTCTTCAAACTACTCTCCGATACAAAGAGCCTTCTTTCACATTTTCCTTTTGGTTATTGTGAATACTTGAGCCATGACACGGCTGAGGCCTGTTGATGGCTTGAAAGACAAAGACCGTGTGCTAAAGTGTGCGAGTGTGTCTATTGTCCGCAAGTCATCACTCGGTAGGCCGTCGTCTCATATCAATAATATCCGGTGCAGGAGAATAATGAAATACCGATCTAGTTCATATGTAATCTAGCCGTAGTCGTCTCACTACGTTTTACCAACCAATAACCTAAAGCCAAGGATAATCACAGAAGCAACCAATTACGTCTAGCCATGCGCCAGAAAACCATTTCCTGCGCCGAGGGAATCAAACCATCTTCCATGAAAAAAGAATTGCTGTCGTCTCTTTACTCGACCTTGGCGTTGTTTCTAGCGCTGGCCTCAGCAGTCATGATCAATGCTCTTGGCGCATCCTCCTTGGGGAGGTAGAGCTCGACAAACTGTAGTGTTGTGGGGTTGTTGAACTCCTGGTCAGTCAGGAGCTTCTCAAGTTCATCCTTTGTCTTGACGACGAATTTCTTGGCTGTCTGCTCGGTACCGCCGAACACTGTCGCAAGTTCCTTGTACTGCCACTGGACAATGTCGTTGTACTCGGCCTCCATGCCGTGGATGAAGCGCTCGATGGTGTATCCATCGTTGCAGATGACGAAGCTATGATGCAACGTTAGCGTGAGATTCTTGGAGTCGGTGCAAAGGAATAAGGGGAGTTGGACTCACATTGTCGTCTTCAAGCCGTGGCGCAACATGTTAGTGACCTCCTGGGCCGTAAGTTGGAATGATCCGTCGCCGACGAAGAGAATTGTCCTGCGGTCCTCTCCCGCATCCTTGGCTGCGAGAGCAGCACCTTGGGCAGCACCGACAGACCAACCGATACTTCCCCAGAAGACCTGACTCAAAGCTGTGACCCCAGCAGGGAATTTGGTGTCCCAGATACCGAAGTTGGCCGTTCCGGTCTCGGTGACAACGATGTCATTCTCGCGAAGGTAGTTGCCAACACGAGGCCATAAGTAAGCCTGGGTAATGGTTTGCGAGGGGTCCGAGTTGGGGCTGGGCACTCTGTTGATGACCTCGGGTGATGTGACGACGGAAAGCTGGCTCAAGTCAAGACGCTCAGTGACCTTGCGGAGGACTCCGCGCATGGTGATGCCAGGGTATTCAGAGTATCTGACTCTCATGTGTGTGCTGTGGAAGTCGATGGTGTTCAGCTGCGATGTTCTGTAAGAGAATCCAGCGGTGTTGAAATCGCTCTGCAAGAATTTTAATGAGCTGTCTTCGGACTTCTAGGAGCGACGAGGCAATTTACCTTGAGACCACCAATGGACAAGATCAAGTCTGAGGACTCGAGTCGCTCACCAACATCGGGTTGCGAAGCGGTACCGGCATAAACACCGCCGTAGTTGGGGTGAGATTCGTTGACGGCACCCTTTCCCATGGGCGTTACGAAGACAGGAATCTTTGTCTTCTCAAGGAGTGCATGAACCTCGGGGAGGACGCGGTGGCGGATAGCGCAGGCGTCAATCAGCATGACGGGCTTCTTGGCGGCATGAAGGGACTTGAGGACGACGTCGACAACGTAGTCCTCTCTGTCAGGGTCGTTGATGGCCTCCTCGAGGTCGATGGGCTTGTTCAGGCGCTGGCCCTCGATCTTCTTCTGGACCATGTCGGTGGGGAGCATAATGTAGACGGGGCGACTGCGGATCCAGCACTCTCGGAGAGCATGATCGATCTGGTTGGCAATCTCGGCGGGGTTGTTGAGGCGCGCAACATCGCATGAAATTTGAGAACTCATGTTGGAGAAGACGTTGAAGTCGCCGTTGCCAAGGGTGTGGTGCAGGAGCATGCCGTTCTTCTGAGAGATCGTAGAGGGGCAACCGACAATGTGTACGACGGGAATGTGTTCTGAGTAGGCACCGGCGAGAGCGTTGATGGCGGAGAGCTCGCCAACACCGAATGTAGTGATGATGGCAGAGATGCCCTTGACACGGGCGTAACCATCGGCAGCGTAGCCTTGAAGAATGTCAGTTCGTCGATCGAAGCTTACTTGGCAAGTTGATAGGTTGTAGGGATACTGACCGGCGTTGAGCTCGTTGACATTACCAACCCATTTCAGGCCGCACTGGGGAAGATAGTCGAGGGCAACGAGGTTGAAGTCACCGGGAAGGCCGTGAACGGAGCGGACACCGACCTCATGGAGTCTCCTGAAGAGGTATTCGACGACGTCGACAGGCTCTATAAGCCCTTGGGTTCTGATATCAGCCATGATCGGATATGTGTGTGAGCAGCTGATGGTGTAGAAGGGGGTAGCTTTGGATGCTACCTCGAGTGTATGTTGTAGAAGTGTTCGTCTGTGTAGATCTGGAATGAAGAAGGAGAAAAAGGGTCCCAGTCAAGGCCAGAGGCGTATAGACTTATATCAGAGTCAACAACCTGCGGAGATGGCGATGTTGTTGATGGTCCCAGTCGGACTTGGACTCACTCGAGTCTCGGCATCATTGCATGGGTCGGCCAGGATCGTCAAGTCAGACCACTGGCCATTGCAGATTGAAACGACAGGGCCATCGGCGATGGGCGACAGCTCATGTAGCTCCATTTTCGTATAAGTGACAAGATACTACGAGCCAGCGAGGCGGCTGAAGCGCAGGCAGTGGGTACCGGGTCTCGGCATGCGACGGGTTCGATCAAGATTTGGGTGAAAGGGGACCAAGATGGGGGTCCTGGCACCAGACGGGAAAAGACGCGAGATAGTAGCGTGGTTACCCATCTTGGTGCGGCTCAGAATAAAGTAGAGGGCGAGCATACAATGGATGCATTGCACCGAGTAAGGAGATACAGTCAACAGTGAGTGATGTAATGGAACACGCCACAGGAGGTTGCGGTCACCAATACACCGGGCTCAAGCCGGGCTGGGCCGGTGGGTTCCGGAGGTGAGGTGAGGTGAGGTCCCAGATATCTGAGGGAAAAAAAAGATTTATTCTGGTACCTTGTCACTGTTCGACGTAAGGCAACATTCTACTGATAGTGAGACAACAGAATGGGACGATAATAAAGTTGCTCGCGTTCAGGGCAGAACAGGGAAGAAAGCGAACGTATCCGTCCTGAGCATCCGTTTCCGTACGTGGTTTGTGGATTTTGGGTCCTCTGGGAGAGAGTGCAGGAAGGAAAAGTGACAGTGCTGGGCAGCATAAGGCCTAGAACACGTCAGGACCAACCAACCTAACTAACCCTTGTCCCTGCCTGCCTGTGAGTGTGAGGCAATGGAAGCCCGCTTCCCGGCTGGCAACTTGGCAAGGTACGCAACCGTTGACAGCGTGGGATCTGCATCCACCCCGTCGGGAAACTGCGGCGTGCCCTGCTGTTTCCCACCCTCCCACGCTCCTTATCCGTGCGAATTCACAATTTAGCCAAACTTGTAACCTTCGCATCCTGCTTTGAGCCAACATAAGACCATAACATGAGCTTGGAACCTCCAGGATCAGCGGCAATGCACTAGAGCGACTCAGACAATTCCATGGGGGGTTATTGCTTCGCTTCCGGGTTTCCCTGACCGCCCCTTCCTGTCGTTGTCGTGCGCAAACTGGGGGGAAAGGGGAGCGGCGCACCATTCGGCATGATCTGATGTTGGCCCCAGCCTATCGGCCCTGCTACGGCGCAACGGCCCAAATAAAACACAATGGAAGTACCATTGAGCATCGTGCGCCTGTCAGCTGCGGAGCCGGGCCCGGGGCCCGCTACGCTCGACTTCGGGCCGCCGCTCGAAGACCGAATTATCTCGCGATGCCGTTCGGACAAATCGCTTGGACCTCAGCCCCGAACCTGAGGACGACCGAAGAGAACGACTGACCTCTTCTCTTAGTTTTGGGACAAGTTCTCCAGACGAAATACTTGGTCAAACATCAACTCGACAGTTCAGCTCTGTCACTGGCCCATTCGCCTGCCTAGACAGAATCCTGCAAATATCAGATCATGTTCTGGGGATCTGCAATGGCCAATCGGAAAAGCATGACAAAGATCTGCATGCATAAGGGTCTACAAAGATAGGAATTCGTCATTCTTCACCTCAACCAGCTACAAGCAGCAACGCCCAACCCTTGGTAAGCAGTAAATGCTTACATGCAATACAATCCGAACCAAACTTTACAGAAATGTAGTCCGCTTGTTTCACTATTATTCTAGGTGGAGGGTATGGTAGGTATTCTACATGCGGTTCAGCATGCTGTCTTGCTCTGCTGCCGCTGGAAGAGTAGCATCGTCTATCAAAGTCCAACGACCGTGGCTTTTCTCGCGATACTACCACGTGTGCCCGTCGCCGTTGGTCATTTTAGTTCGTACACATTTATACAGCTCGAACCGCGTCGCTTTCAATCGCAACGGCCGTCTTTCCAACCCGTCCGCCATCGCTCTTCCCATTTGCTGCAGTCAAACTCCTTTTTGCCTAGCTTCCGATTGACCTCGTTGTGCGCCTCGCACAGCCAGTTTCCAAACTCGCTCCGCCCCTCCACTCGAATCCGTTCTTTTTGTATGTACGATTGGAAATCTTCGGCGCACACCCAGCAAGGGTAAAGCTTGGAAAACAGTCTCATGAAACCTCGAAGGTCGTCTTTCTGGCTAGGGGAGGGCTTTTCGGGGTACGTTGCTGCGATCGAGTGTAGCAGTTGCCAAGTGCCTCGTCCAAGGGCCTCGACATCCGGGGGGCAGTCGTCGACAGGCGCCGAGGCCACTGGAGTTGGTTTTCTGACTGAGCCGTTCATCTGAGAAGCCCAGCTCGAAAAAGCGCTCTTCGACGAGCAAGACCGACATCTAAAGATGACGCATGTCAGCTGAATCTCCGGTGAGGAAGCACCGACGGATTGAACCACCGCCGAAAGATCACCGTCAAGGAAGTTATGGGAACTTACGGTTTGCCATCTGGGCCCAAGACCATTCCCTTTGGTAAAGGCTTGGGCTGCTCAGCTGCCGCTGTCGCCGCGGGGGCTGAGACGCTGCTTAATTGAGGGTCTCGCTCGGCGTCAGCCATGGCGATAGTACTGCGCGAGAGTTTCGCCCTTGTCGCGAGAAGCGAGGCTAATATCGACGGGCCCTATAGAAAGAGAATGGATGCGACAAGGGACTTTGAATGGGGTGGTCTGCCCAAGTGCGCGCGATGTCGGACAGTGTTCGAATTTTGGTTGGGAGGAATTTGTAAGCTCAAGAGCCTCGTCAGTACCTCGAGGAAAGGATGCCGATGGCGGACCGTTATCGATAACCCACCAAGGCCACTAGAGGTCAGGTAAGGTAAGGTACCTCAAGGTACAAGGATCGCAAAGCATTATCTATTCTCGACCTGAAATTCCAAAGTGATAATGCCCGGTCCAACCAAGGGTGGCCGGCTCCCGTCGGCAAGCACCGGTAGACTTTCGACGTACCCAGAACCCGTAATTGGGATCCGGCCTGGTCTATCGTGCTGCATTGGTGTGGTGTGAGGCGGGAGTCTCTGGGTATACGGATGCTGTAATCGGCGCCTTAGCGGGGGATCCGCTGCTTAATCGATTTCACGCTATCCGCAAGGTACCGAAAAGATGAGGTGGGGTGTTTCTTGTCCCTGAGCCGCATGGCAGTCATTCAAGGTCAACCCATTTGTCCACCAGGCAGCCGTCTTTTCGGACCGTCAAAGTGCATCTACGACCCGGGGGTCCTTGCAGATGTATCCGTAATAAGGTGCGAGTAGTTCCACTTGGTTCTAGCAATCGTGTGCTCTCTCTACTCATTGAGACTCGGGAGCAGGCCATGTGTCTGGTATTCTCCAAACCCCTCCCCTTTCTATATCCCGAGCGAGAAATTCGATGAACTTTACTGTTGTCTCGCATGTCTGATACGAAGAACTCGTCCAGTACTTCACTTCTGCGGTGCTTCGTCAGATTAGTGACCTCGATGCTTTGAACTTGTGTTCCGCGTCGGAGTTGACAACGGCGAAGAAGCTGAGTCGGTCGAGGAGATTCGTGTAAGTGAAATGGCACCGACTTACCTAAGACAGTACGTAACTCTACATCAAGCCAGCTCCGCCTGCCAAAATTCACCGAATTGCCCGCGGCGGGGCACCGTCCCGTCGTCCAGTGCGATAACCATTATGACGGCCAAGTCAAACCGCAAAGTGCGCAGCTGAGCGGGAAGTCGTCACCGTTGATTTGATACTCCAGCAATTGACTTTGAGACGTCTGATAGTTTAATTCATTCGCTTTACTCATCACGACACAGCGGGCCGCAAAGACATTTGCCATGGCTCAGAACCCCTCATTTGCTTTGGCAGTGAAGGTGCCTGTCCTGCTGCTCAAGACAAAGTCAACTCCGGGCGACTCGTACGAGGACTTACTCTCAGGTGAAACTGACGGGTGTGCCTTCGAACCAGCTTATGTCCCGGTCCTGCACCACATCTTTCAGAAACAGGGCATGGCGACGGTCAGGCATGTCTTGCAGCAACGTGAGATTAATGCTGGCAACGACGCCTCTTACGGCGGTCTCATTTTTACCTCGCAGCGAGCGGTCGAGGCGTTTGCCAGCCTGGTGGATGAGAAGAAGGGTCCGTCGGATTCGCACCCGCATCAAGAGCTTAAACTCAAGCCTCTCGACCGTAACAAAGCAGAGCTAACCGGATTGACAGGCACTGAAGAAGAGTGGCCTCATCTCCAAAATATACCAGTCTACAGCGTTGGCCCGGCTACTACACGAGCTCTCCAGTCCGTCTCACAGCACGCCCCGTTGCAAATATTCGGCGAGCACACGGGCAATGGCGATGCCTTGGCCAAGTACATTTTGGACCACTATGGCCGATGGTACCAAGACCGGCAGACGAAGCCACCGCTGCTCTTCCTCGTTGGCGAGCAGAGGCGGGACATCATCCCGAAAACCCTCATGAACACCGCTTTGCCCAGCGAGAAAAGAATCCACGTGGACGAGGTCGTGGTCTACGGCACGGGTGTCATGGAGTCTTTTCCTCAAGACTTTGAGAAACACCTGAAAGATACTGAGGGCCTGCCGATGCGGTGGGTAGTTGTCTTCTCCCCGACTGGTTGCGAAGGGATGTTGCGCGGGCTGGGGATGCTGGACGAGTCCACAGGGAAGGTCAAGAAGGACGGGCTCGATGGACGTAAAACGTTCATTGCAACGATCGGTCCGACGACGAGGGACTATCTAAGACGAACGTTCGATTTGGATCCAGATGTTTGTGCTGAAGAGCCAAGCCCAACAGGCGTCCAACGAGGAATCCTTGATTTCATGGGAAAGCAGACATAACGTCTTTCTGAAAATATACAAGAAGAATAAACCCTTAAATGAATCCCTAAAAGCGCCCGAGTGATAACCAGACGACGAGGAGATCATAGGGAGCACTGGGGGTTTGTGCCCTGCCTATGACTATATGTAACCATTTCAGCCCGTCTTTCCTTACGATTGCAGGACACCTTCATACATCGTTAGGAGAGATACGCAGTTGACAAATCTTTCAGCTCCAAGCCAGCATGAACCGCACGGAACCTCCTCGCTACCTTAGAGACACGACCGATGTTTAGAGCTTGGATGCAGGTTGTGTGCATTGCTATACCGTTTGACGTTACACGGGCACGCGCGATGAAGGAGACCTTGCCGGTATGGGGCTGAAATACGTTTTGATTGGCTGCTTGTCCATTAGAATCGAGACGCGACTCACGCGCGCCTCACGCGCAACTCTTCCGAATTTCAACGCGTCGCGTACCAGGGACGCGTTGAATGCCACACGGACCACGAGACCCAACTGGGGGCCTTTTGGATCCTTTCCTAATCAAACGATGAAGTGACAAAAAGGATTGGTCAAAGAGAAACAGAAAAAAACAAGCTTCTACATGTGAAGCATTTGCTGAGCCGGGAACATACAAGTGCCTCACACCCATTCCGATTTGGCGCTCTCAACGCCTCTGGTTCCTTGCGTAGCCCCACGCATAAAATGAAGATCAATGGCTGGAAAGAAATGTTTTCGTAGTACCGTCTCCTTGTCGAGGGAATGGCGGCGTTGTTCACGATGAAGCTATTCTCGTCCCTCGTGAAAGTAATTGCGGAATAAGAGGGGTTAGTATCTCCGCTTTTTGCGTAGGTTATGCCGTGCCATCATAGCCAGCGTTTGGTATCATTCAAAAGTATAGCATTGGTGATAATGACGACGAGGAGAGAGCCACCAGACGCATCTGTTAGACATCTCTCATCAAGCCAGGGGTTCGTCAAACGTCAATCGTCTTCTAGCCAGACTGACGGGAGTCCTCGCCGAGGAGAGAGCGACGGGTGTCTTCCATGCCTTTTGAGCAGGACTAGGCGTGATGTTGACAAAATCTGCGAAGTCGAAACCTTGCCCGGGCGTGTTGGGGAACATGTTGCCGCCACCTGGGGTGGTCATGTGTGAAGAAGGCAAAGTCATATCTCGACTGACCTTGGAAGGAGGCGTCGAAGGAGGCTCCATCCTTGTCTTGGTAGATGGGACGGCGGGTGACGGAGAGGCAGCCAGGTACAGCAGAAGGTCGGCGCCTTCTTGGCCGGATTTGACGGGTTCACCGTTGGCGCCTTGGTCCTTGGTACGGCGATTGGGCAACATTCGATTGCGCATTGGTGGTGTTGTAGGGGGTGAAGACCGAATATTCGTGGCCCTGAATGACTGTACGGGCAAGAGATCGTCTTCATCATCCGAGGCTGCCGCAAAGTTTGGCGACACTAGGTCGTCTGCCAGTCTTCGAGCCCCCTGAAAGAATGAAACATCGGGGCCAGTAGATGTGGTGAAGTGTTGTTGCCTTCTGGGCTTAATCGGAGACGATTGCGCTAGCTGATGACTTTCTTTCCACGAAGTATGGCCGTGCAGCGACTTGATGGGAGTAGGGGACGAGCGATAGCGTTTGCTTGGGCTAGACGATGGACAGTCGAAAGATGCCATGTAGGTGCGCTTGCGATGGCCGGTGCTCCCGTTGCTGGAGCCGATGGCGTCGGAAAAGAGGGGAGCTTTCAGAGGAGAGCTCATAAGGGCTCTCGTGGGATATGGAAGGTCGGAGGCGCTCGAAGAGGAGTCGGACAGGAGGTCTCCCTCGGTTAAACGCTTCCGTCGCAGTTCCTCCTCATACTTTGGTTCGATGGTATCGAGTGTTAGGTCTTCCCAGCCATGCTTGGTTTTGAATTGGGCGAGCGCGAGTCGGTTCTGCAGTCTTCGGGCTATCTGTAAGATTGTCAGGATCAGGGACATTCTGCTTTGTGAGGTGCGTTGTGGTCTTGGCTATGGCCCTTTGTCAACATACCTTGCTCACTTCCACCCTCTTCAAGACCTTGTCCGCCACCTCTTCAGGTTGTTGCTTCCACACAGAAGACATGGCTTGGAGGTAGGGCATGCAGTATCCCGTGGATTGTGTTGATGCTGTTGCTGGAGAGGAACAGGCCCGTCGTCTCTAGTCAATGCGATCTGAGTAGGAAAGTGAAGCGTCGTAACCGTCGGCTGTCACCTGCTATAGTGAAAGCGGGGGAAAGGAGGATACTGGGTGACGGGAGTCCAGTCCAAGGGCCCGATCGTTGACCTTGAGGATTGGGGGGGGGGGGGTGAGACCTTGAGAAGCCCGTAGCAACCAACGGTCAAAGGAATGGTGGATGAGGGGTTGGATTGTTCTTCTGGAATGCGTGGGAGGAGGGAGTGTATACAACCACAAAGGAATAGAGGGGTGTATGTGTGTGTTTTCAAGGTATAATCGAGGTAAGGAGCAGGAAGTTGTCCCAAATCGAAGTCATGCACTGCGTTGTCGAGATTTTGCTGTGGAGGAGAGTGACAACGAAGGGACCTGGCTGAACGGGGAGAAAGAGGAAAGTTCAGATTGAGTGGTGTTTCCACCTGGTCAGCTGGGAAACGTAGCGCAGTGAGTGGCCCGGTCTCAGCGGATGGAGGACCCAGACGGGAAGCAAAATTCACCTACAGTCCACTGGACCCAACCAGACTCCGGGGCCACCTGCCGCTGGGCCCCTCTGAGTCTTCACCTCAGTCCGGGCAGGTTTCCCGTCCCATTGACGTGGAAACGACCTGAAGCGCCAATTGTCCCCTCAAGGCTCTACCTTTTACCTGCCATCGCCCGACTTTTGCTCTGGAAGGTATCATCCACTGTCCTGTTTCGAGAGCTCGCCCGGACCTTCCCGTTCCTATCCTAAGGTACCTCAAGATAAGCGCAGGTAAGGCGCCTTACGGAGTATGTAGATATTTCACTCCCATCTTGCTCTTGATACCTTGCTTGCATTCGATCTTGATCTTCAGGCAAGGGAAAGGCTTTTGATGGTGCGCATTTGGCAAGCGCCGGACCCCGTCAAGCTGAGTGCCGATAGCCTCCACTATGCGCTTTTAGGACCAGCCCCAGTGAGGTGTGGGCTTCTTCAGAGGGGAGGTCATGCTCAACTCACATACTCCGTTTCTCAGACTTCCCAAGCAACTAAGGTAAACCTCGTCGAGGCCCGGGCAGAAGCGACGGCGCGGATCAGAAACGCCTTACCAAAAACGGATCCAGCTTCCCCAACCAGCGGGTTTGCTCATCTAACTTGCACTTGTCACGGCAACTGAGGCGAGGGCGGGACCAAAGAATCTTTCGTCCTCGTTGCCAACCTCATGCTTCTCGTACCTCGAGGCTTGCCTGATGCTCGCTTTTTTTTTCTTTTTCTTCTCCCCCCCCCCCCCCCCCCCCCCTTCTCTCCTTCCACGTGTTTTTCTTTTTTTTTTTCTTTTTTTTTTTTTTTTTTTTTTTTTTTTTTTTTTTTCTCCCCCCCCCCCCCCCTCTCATCGAGGAGATCGTTCCAATGCTGTTGTGCTACAAACTTTTTTTTTTATTTTTATTTTTATTTTTTTACGCATTGGTCATGTGCGTCGTAGCGCGCAATCACCGTCAAAGGCTTGACTGAACGAGACGGCAAGTATGCGCCACACTACTCTCAAAAACTTACTCCGTCTCCTGTTGATCCGTACTGATGTAAGAGCACTACGGCGGACTTGAGATTCGATGTATCGTGTTGACCGTAAGAGTGAGTGTCCGCAAGCCGTGCCCATTGGAATCGATGTCACTGGAAACGTCAATGCGTTCCAGACCTTGTATGGGCGTGACACTGTCCAGCATTCCAGCCCGTGAGATTCCTTTTAGATACCGTTGGCAGGGCGCTCATCTACCAATCATACGTGCGGGTCGTACCTGCCAGAGAGGTGGCCATGTGCCGAAGAGGGCATCCTCTACCTTATTCGTAAGGTGCCTATGGTCAAAGTAGGTGGTCATTTCCCTCAGTCTCTCGGAGTCCAGGGGCTTGAAGGAAAAATCAATTAAGACCCCTGTCGATGTTAACAGCTCCTTGGGCGCCTACCCACGCGCAAGCTAGCGAAGTGAGTTAGTTCACTCTGCAACCTACGCAAAGGCTCGTCAATCTCTCCCTGCCACCCAGTTTACGACACCATCTGGAGACATGCGCAGTTGGTTGTTCGAGCCTCGAGGGACCAACGAGCGCCCCTCGCGAGGTGTAAATGAGCAACTTTCTAGTCTTGGAGGGCGAGTTGAATGTCACTGAAAAGCAACCGCCAGAAGCCCGTCTCAGCTCATCCGCGTTTCCTTCTCTCCGACCGAGACTGTTGCCTGGACCCACATTAGCCAACATTTCATTCAAATTCTCAGTACCTTTGAAACTTGTAGTCTACCGGCAGAAAGCATCAAGAACATACGTCGGTCTTGATGGTAAACATCGTCAAATGCACCATGGTCTTTGGTGGATGCTGCCATTGGCGACCGAAAACGCACATGGCCTTCTCATGCTTGCAGGGTCAAGAGGCAGAATGCCCATACGGCAGCACGCCGTCACGTCGTCTGCCGATCATGAGAATACGATTGTCCGACGGACCTGATTCCGTATGGTATGTCTTCCTGTTGGTGGAGATAATTGGAGATCGAGGCATGTGTACTCCGTAATCCAGGACGGATACGTAATTACTCTGTCGTTTTACAACTAAGACGGATAGTCGGACCTCTCTATGCGATTATTCACCAAATAAGGGCACTTCCTAGTTGCATGTGATACTTATGCATCATACGGATACCGAGAGCAGAATATGGATAAACGGATACTCGTCGCCAAGCAATTACACATAAATACGGAGTACGGATACCTAGATGTGGAAGCTATCCATGGATGAGAAAGTGCCCTGGGCGATACGACTATGCAGACGTGCATAACATGCAGGGAGGAGGCAGTCTAGCTGCAGCATGCGCCTGACAGGGGGA